AAAGTTGAGAGAATACCCTCCTCCATCCTGAGCTTCATAAGAGACACGATGGATCCATACTTCTTCCGAAAATCTGTAGAACTCTCAATCTCGGGAATCAGACTCACCAATTCATTTATCTTATGATTCTTGAAATTGTACTTCCGAGTCTTTCTTTTTCCAGAATCCATGGCCAAAAGTACCTGAGATATTCGCAAAAATTCAACTTTAAGTCCCTTGAAACACATGTTTTTAAAGGATTCTCATGGGTGCATGAATGCATGATGCAACAACCACACACAAGATCACAAACATGGGGGGTCATAGGTTTGACGTCACGAGCATGATGTCAAAGGTACTACCCACAAGGTATGGTCCAATAGTTTATCACCTGCCGAACAAGGTTCTAAGAGGTTCCCAGAGTCTACATCCTTCCTTCAAATATTACCAACGTCCCAATTGACTCGGTAATTAGTAACATTCTCAAGAAAAACTCGTATGAGTGTAGTATCTCATGATAACCATTTCCGAATTACTCTGTCATAGTTTCCGCACTACACTTAAAAGACCAAGATGGGTTTAGGGTTCTACGGTCCTCAGCTTCAGCAAGATCCCAGGTCGAAAGCAGCACGTCTTCCTGATTACTCGGTAAATGACACTATCGTAAAATGGGCCTCCACTGAGTGGGGGATCTCATGCCTCCTTTTTTTGGGATTACTCCCTAAAATTTAACATGACTATACCGCCCGTCCTATCTTAAGTTTGCCTAAGCCCGAGTATAGGACTTATGAGAAATCACCAAGCACCCTAAAAACCAGGAAATTACAGACAAACATATACAACACATAATATACAAACAATAATAACACATGCACAAACAAACAAAGAGAGGCTCAACCCACTTATGGATGAACCAACATTTGGTCAATCTTTCCCCAACAGAGTTTCAATTTTTTCTGTATTGGTAGAAATATTGAGACTGGGCCATTGGATTGACTTGACTCGCATAGATCAAATACAAATCGCCACTGTGCTTTATTGTTTCCGAAGGAATGGGAAAAGAACGAATAAACCAAAAAGAGGGGGAGAGAATCTAGGTTTGAGGGTTGGTTATGTAAAAGGAAGGTATTAGCACCCTAAACATCTATGGTACTTCGTGGGAACCTCTTTGAAAATTTGTGTATTTTGGCTATAAATGTTGTATACAAAAGTAGATTGTGGGGATGAGAAAAGAAGTATTTTTTACAATTTTTGCACCTCCTGCGGTTGCGAACCTTTAGTTCCTACATACCACCTTCCGTGCAATAGAGGATCAGGGTACTCGTAGTTCACCTTTAAAACTTGTAAAACACAAGTGTGTTGGTTAATTTTAAGAGAGGAGACATCATCGTTATATCTGAGTGGAAGAACATACTTACTACTCACAATTATGAGAAAGGAGAATGTGCGTCATCTCAAAGTGGAGGAAATGACTTGAATTTTAAAATCAACAAAGCCTCGCTCAACACCCAAGTGGAAAATATCTCACTTTACTACATATCGTAGAAGTATAGTAGCTCGTATCACTACAAATATTGGAAAGAGTCTAATCTTTTGAGAAAATTTTAAGATAAAAAGCCAAAATGGCAAAATGGTTTGAATGAGATGGATTGACTTTTAGTCTTCTCACAAAAAAGTCAAAGTATTACTAAATTGGTTAAAGTTTGATCAAGAAAATATTTTGAAAATGCATGGACCTAAGTCCATGTTTATTGTGAAAGCGGTTCAAGTTTAAAAACAAGAATAGTTTTGAAAGGAGGGAGAAGATTTTTGAAATTAAAGAAGATGGGAGGAGATGAAGGGAATATCCTAAAGCATAAGGTAAAAGCTAAGGAAAAGAACCGTCTAACTAACAAGGAGCCAACACTTGACATAATGAGTCAATGTAGAATTCCCATCCTTTGGATTGAAACCAAGCAAGCAAAGATATTAAACCTCTTAAGAATACCAAACTTCAAATACATTAAGTCTTCACAAAAATTGGGCAGAGTAACGTCTGTATAAAGATGAATTCCCAATCACGGGCAAAGTGCATAATCAAAATAACCTGCACACAAAGAAAACCAACAATCCAATGTCTCGGGATAAACCTCAAGAACTCCAGACAAAATAACAATAGAAGTCACAAGGTCACAAGGTAGGTCAAGGTCTCTACTCCTAAGTCCAAGAAGTCCATAACTCCTCCATGCTAAGGATAGTAACCAAATAGTCCAAGTAACATTAAAGTTTTTTATTGTTCAAGTTGGTTATTAGGAATTTTTCAAAAAGAAAATGAAAAGCTCAAGTGAGCAAAATAAAAAGACATAAAGATAAATGCTCAAGTGAGAAAATATGAAAATAGCATGAAATGAAAATGCTATGATAAATGGTGCTTAAAGCAAAAGCATAAAGTAAAAGCATAAAAATAAAAGTCAATTGTTAATGAGTTAGAAATTAGGGGTTAATTGAATGACCATCTTGAAACTTGCATTTGAAAACTCATTAGAAGATTGATAAAATCAAAGCATCTCAACAACAAGTTTCATTTGCTTTTTGTCAAGTATATCATTCATTTCAAATCTCAATGCAACAACAAATGATCAACAATGTTTAAATGATTCACTTGGTCCAAAATTTATGAAAGTCCATTAGAGGATTGATAAGACCAAAGTCTCCTAACAATGAACCTCAAGGTTATTTGATCAAAGGTTTCAAATTAAACATACTTGAGCTTACACACATAGGTTTGGGTCACGAATGATCATTTCTCGAATCGGGATAAAATTTAGTGTTATGTTAAGCAATCGTAAGTGGACTTATGTAGAAGTTGCACTTATTTTGAGGTCGGTCAATAGCAATCTATGTGCCATATGTTTGGAGAGGTGATATGTGGATTATCCTCTAACAACATGCAACACAAAAGAGAATGGGATAAGATGAAGAGAGAGATGATACATTTGAATAAAAAATTTAATCAAACTAGCGTTAAAATCATCCATCCAATTTTATGGAGTTAAACTCAACACCCAAGATCCAATGATGTTAATGAAGTTTATGATCAACAATCACATAGCCAGAATATGTAAAAAAATAAATTGCATTTAATGAACAAAATAAAAGAAAAAGAAAATGACTTTTAAATTGTTTTTAAAATGAAAACAAAAGGTAAAATAGAAAACTATATTCAAAATATCAAAGAAAATTTTAAAAGAACCATAGAAAAATCATAAATTACCTCAAATACTTTTATAAAAATTTTGGTAATTTTTTAAAATAGAAAAGTATTTTTAAACTAATTAAAATCACTCAAATAAGTGAAAAAAAGTTCAAAAATAGTAGAAGTCAAAATAAAATTCTAGAAAAATTTCAGAAGGTTAGAAATAAAGAAAATGATTTTTATAAAAAAAAAATTAGAATTTAAAAATATCAAAAAGTAGTTTTAAAACAATTAAAATAAGGAAAACAAAACAAATTATGAAAAATACCAAATATTAAAATAAAAATATGAAAAAATGTTCACAAAATCATAAATAATTCAAAGTATTTTTGTATATTTTTTTCATAATATTTGGACAAAAAATAAAAGAGTTATGAATTTTTGAAATTAAAACAAATTTAAAACAAATTTTGTAAAAATAAATAAATCAGAAATAATGTGAGGCGTTGGATCTAGTTCATTAAAACACGCTGGCACATCTGATGGCTCAAAAATGATGATGTATGATGATCTACAATTAACACGCGCATGCTGAATTCACGAAAGTCAGACCAATCACAATATTTCAAATGTCTCGCTCTCATTGGTTGAAGAGGGTACATAGGTCATCTTCAACCTCCAGCTACCCTGCAACTAGGGTGAAACTATGATTCTTAAATCTGTAAATTTAGACGCTCATAGTGGTATCATCAGACGCGTCTCTTCAAGACGATCACAACCATATCCTCGCGCCAAATTTATATAAAACACATCGTAGTCGATTTGGAAAAAATCAGAGATGTTTAAAAATGTTAAAATCGAAAATCAGAAGCATCAAATGCATTATTTCACAAAAATTGAGTTAAGAGAAAGCATCAGTTTACATCATAGACCATTTCAGTAATTTGAGTTATAAAATTTGGTGCCTTAAACTACCTGAATGAAGTCAGACGAACTTGCTCTGTAAATGGACTTGACTAGCACGATTTAGGACAACTCAAAGCTTGATTTTTCTTCTGTTAGCTTCAGTGAAGTTCAAGGATGAAGGATCAATGAAGAAATTGGATTGAAAAGTGGAGAAAAGAGGAATTCGAAATCTCAGAAAAGTGAGTTATGGAAGAAGTTTGACAGAGTGATTTTGGCTGTTCAAGCTTGATAAAATCAGAGGAGTGAGGTCCTCTATTTATAGGGAAGTGAATGGTGCAAATAATTCAGAGAAAATTTGAAGTTTGGAGGGAAATTGGATCAAGCTCGAAAATAAAAAAAGTGTGACCCCATGTGCATCAAAATTCAACCAATTCATGCGTTTTGATCCTTAATTCAATTTTGGAACCTTTGTTAAACATATTTAAATCAAAAATGCGTGTTAAATTGGTGATTAGAAGCCATATTATGAATTTCAAATTCTGACTTTGAAGAAAACTTCAATTTCAAAATACAATCTTTAAATCCATAGTGTTTATAGCTTAAGGGGTCTTAGGGCTTAATAAAGTTTTCTATACTCTTCATGCGAGTATTTTTCAGACATGGTGGAGTCAATTCAAGCACCAAATGTGATGAATTAATATAGATCGACAGAATAAGGGATGAAATAAAAGATAATTGTACTACTCTTCACAAATGTAATAGTAAAATTATAACAATAACTAATTAAGGGAAATTGTAGAGGTACTAAACCAGAGGGGTATAAACTTAGAGAAAGCTGTTAAGTTAGGTAGTGAAGAGACTCAATATTCTTCCTCTAAAATTCCACACCCATTATTAAAAATTATTGACCTATTTAACTGAGTCAATGAAATATTTTTTGTTAGCCACCCTTGCTCTTATGCCACGCCTTGGCTCTTGAATTTGAGGATCGATCATTTGCCAAGTGTCCATTGCTCTCAACCATTTCAGAAGTTGTAGTAACCATTTTACCTAATTCATAACAAAACCTCTTTTTTTTATTGTCTATCCTAGGCATGGTTTTAAATTGCAGTCCACAATCATAATTGTGTTCGCAATATTGCTGATGCAGTTGTTTCCAGAACCCCGTAGGACGACAATTGCGGTGTGATTTTAAAATCATGCCTCCGACTGTATTAGGCACCACATTAAACAATTTCAATCATGTTTCTTCAATAATTTCATCAAAAATAAAATATTAGAATCCAAAAACTCAATTTACTTATGTAAAGAAACTAAACATTGACTGTATTTCAAAAAACCTCTCTATCAAAATTCTCATCCAATACCCTCAATGCGCATCGCAACAACCGTAATGACCGCAATCGCAACACCTGCAACCGAAGCTGCATTCGAAACCGCATCCGCAATTTAAAACCATGATCCTAGGCATTCCATGTTCATTTTTATAGGCTCTTGTTTGGTTTTGTCAGATTGATATGTGTATTCCACTTTAATTATTTATTCTTTTTTACAAAATAACATAAAATAAATTGAGTACAAAGAGACTCTAATCTATTTAACATTAGTTATTACATTGAGCAACATATGACATTAACTGATGATAACTAAGAACCTCAACCATAAACATTATCAACTATTTGATTATAAACTTAGAATATCACATGAAGTTAGCTGAAATAGTTACCAAGTGAACCGTCTAATCTGATAGCAGTATTATTCATAAAAATAGTTTTGGAATCTGGATACTCATTATTGAATTGTTCTACTTGATCTCTAAGCTTCTCACTAAATATTGCTTCAATATCATTTAGATTTTCGACACATGGTCTACTCGCGTTCGTAGCGAGGACCATTGGAGTGCAACCGATTTTTCCCAACCCAACTGCCACAAGTTTTCTTGCTCCAACATTATACAAAACCTATCAACCAAAAACAGCAATTTAAAATTTGCAGCAAAAATAAATTTTAACAAAAAAATGAAATACTTACAATAGCTTTTTATAAATAAAAAAATTAAAACTACTTTATATATTTGTGTGTACCTTTCTATAACCAGAATACTGGTCAATAAGAACTTTGGCATACTCCTCTGGATTATAGATGCTACTTGTTTGATAGAGATTGGGTTGAAAATAATTAAATGTGTAATCGTTGGTGCCTATATAAATATAATACAAGCACTTTTTTAGATATTGTGTTGCATTTTCCTCACCTCCAAGCTTTGTAGCAATTTGAGCAACAATGATTTTGTGATTTTCAATCTGTTGTCCATAGTCGATATTAGTACCCTGCACATATTATGTTAAACTAATTTAGTGACACTTAATAATAATAATTAAATTTAAATATTTAATTGATTTAAAAACATATTAATTAATCGTATTAAGATTATCGAATATACATTACCGCTGTTTGTTTTCCAGTGTCGTTACGAATTCCAGCCAAACCAGATGCATAATTAACACCTTCAAGTATATCAAAGCCAGTAGTATTTGCAAATGGTGGGATGAAATTCGGAAATCCAAGTAGTTCACCTACAACGTTTAACATGACCCATAATCTTAATTCAACATAAAATATTAAGCTAACGATTCATATATTTTTTTTAATAAAAAAACCTCTTAACGGTGCAAATAGTTATTACCGATTATGTCGATTTGTGTTTTTCCATTGGTAACTCTTCCGGTAGGGCCTTGAGGAAAGTCGATGCCATATGGCTCATAATCAGCCTTTGCAGTTGTTGGGATATAGTTGTTATTTCCACTTTCAGAGAAGTCATCTCCAAATATAAAAAGGCAAGGCACTTCAGGTGAATTTCCACTGACACAATGTTGCATGTAGCATGCAACCAAGAGACAAAGATGGTAAACTAACCATGATTTAGTCCCGCATGCCATTTCTCTAGGTATACAAATAATTATGATATAGGAAAATGAGTGCTTTTGATATGTATATTTACAAGAAAGAGGTGTATATATAGGTTATTTGCTGCAAAAAATTGTCAAAACAAATAATAAATAAAGGATCGATGAAGTATTTGACAAGTTTTATAAGTTAAAATTTGTCAAAACAAATATAAATGAAGGACCACAATACATTTAAATTTTGAAAACTATAATCATGGAATGATTGATGACAGATTTTATAAGAGTTACATAATTTTGATGGAAGTAATATTTTTGCGGGGTAGATTTTTTTAGATATTGGAAGGTAGATGTTGGAGATAAAATTGTTTGAAAGGGATGTTAGATGAGATGAGGGTTTAATCGAGTGGTTTCCCTAGTTAGATATTGGTGTAAACTTTGGAAGCCAATAATTTTGATATTTTTATCGAATTATTTATTAATAATAATTTGTATTTATTTCTTATGTTTGTTTTTCTAAAATAATACAGTCTCTAAAAAAACTAATTAATTTAATGAAACATTATGTGTGACTAAATCATGAGATACCATTAAACATAAGGTCATTATTCTTACAATATCCATAGTCAAACTTTACTGTGAAGTGCACAAAGAGTTATCAAAGTCTTCATATATGTATGGATGTCGGGAGTTATATTTATATTGAATTGACTCACTATGAGAATATTTCATAGAATGATATACAAGTATCATAAGTTATTCTAGAGGTTATATGGGTGTATTCGTCCCTTCGGCGTGAAACTATCACTACTACAAATAACGCATCTAACGTTAGACGTGAAATGTATTTTACATTGACATCTGAAGCGAGGTAAATAAGATCGTCATGAAAAGTAGAGACTTATCACCTATGTGTTTAAAAAATCAAGGGATATTTTAGTAGAACATGGGTTAGATCCATACCGTCTGTATTTTTATTATTAATAATTGTAGCGCCTCAAATATCTTGGATTATCAATAAAACAGAGGAATAAACTACATCAGTAAAAAAATTTAATTTAAACTGATTACATTGTTTACACAGAAAATTAATAAAGTAACTTGTTTATAAGATACAATGTTTACCCGGAATATTAAACTGGTTACATTGTTTACACATAATATCAAATTAAAAATCAAATTATCCATGGAGGTCCTATGTTAAATCTTCATATCTTTGATATCCATGAGAAGATTAATTGATGGAAAGAATATGTTTTCAATTGCTTTTCTTAGCATTTGCTTCTAATATAAAAAAAAAAAAAGAGTTAGATAAATAAATAAATTTATGTTCAAATAAACATTTTAAGAACACAAACCTTAAACCCAAATATTTTCATTCTCTTGCAATCCATCTTAGAGAACACTTCATGACCAAGATTCTTACAAATCTTAAAATTGAGGATAGTTTCAAGCGTTTCATGTTGATGTATTATGAATTTTTTATATTTTGATTACTTTTATAATCATGTTATTTAGGTTTCACGTGGATAACTAATGGAAGTGTCTTGAGCATTGATAGTGATGAAAATGGACAGCGAGAATTTGATTAAGGACGATGACAAATATCCTCCAAATTAACACTAAAATATCCCTCGGATTTAAGAAAATCCTAGGCGAAAGATTTTTATTATTATTAATTTTTAATTTACATAATTTACATAGAATTTTAAAACACAATTTTATAATAAATTCAAATTCTTGGAGATAAACAAATCTTTGCTATAAGGAGTTATCGAGAATGAATTGTTTATAATAAATCTTTGATGGAATTCTCAGAGATATCATAGTCTTCAGAGTACTAAGAGATTTCATGGTGTACAAAGATCTGTTCTTAAGCACTTCTAGATCAAAAAATTTCAAAGCAATGGACAGTGATAAATATTTTCATTATCTATCGCGGCTACATATTAATTATAATTAGGGTAAAATCTATTTTAGAAATTTCAGATTTCACGTTGGTTATTTTTAAAAGTCGAGGTGACATTTGTTATATATATATATATATATATATATATATATATATATTGATAATTACATTGTTTACAAAAAAATATTAAAATAAATGGCTTAAACAAATATTTTCTCTTTTGAATGAATATATTCGCTGATATCCATCATCAGAAGGTTGAGCCCCCTTCTTTGTGTAAGTTGAAGCAAGAATATTAAAATATACTATTACAACAAATGAAGTGTCATCATAATCGATGTTATTCTTCAAGAACAACAAAGCTTTGTTGTAATATATATTTAGTTGCATAGCCTTGTGTGAATGCTTTTTAACCTCAATGGTTTGAATGCATCCATCTTCTAATAAATTATTTGTTCGAAACATTGGAAAATATTTTTTCTGCACCTGCAATCCATCCTAGGAAGTTAATTACAAAAATACAAAAACAACATCAACAATATTATGTGAGATAGATTGCAAGGATACAAAAATGTTTTGATCTAGATATAAAACTATTGAAGATTTTTTATGTCTTCCAATCCATCCCAAAGAATGATGCATGAGAGTTTGAGGAAGCTTCATATAAGTAAGGATTACGGTAAAATATAACGAGTGTATTTATAGTAAAATCTGATTATTTTATCCCTCGATTATATCGAAAGTCGAAGGATTAGATCATTTAGTTTACATTTATATACAAAAAAAAAACATAAACTGTAATAGCAGGGATTCAAAGTGTGTCCTGACTTGTGTTTCCCCTCGATTATTTTAAAACCCGAGGAAAATTATGGATTTTTACTTTTATAAATAATAAAAGATGGTGCGCCTTGGTATTTTACCTCGATTTTTCTTTGGCTGAGGTGAAAGCTTCGTAATGAAAACCGTTATTTTTTTAGTGCACTAGTGATAATCAAATGTTATTTATAACATGATGACCAAAATTATGGTTGATTGGTACTCCATAAATTATGTTGAGCAACATGAATGATCTAAATTAAAATTTCCCATCTCGCATAATAGGAAAAATGTATAAGAATCCAATATTGAACTAGACAATGGTGACATAGTTTATGCCTTGTACATGTTCAATATAGACACGGGTGTTCGACTTAAGGATTTTTTGTTTGTTTTCTGTTGCATTCTATATTGTGATTTCCCTTCAAAAGATGCTAGGGTTGTTGAGTTAATGGGTCTTCTCCCATAATTATGAGATCCTTATAGTCAATTTTTTCAAATTTGATCTTACACATATGTCACTAAAATTATTTTGGCTTAAGAAAGTGTGAACATATTCATATGGAGATAAAATGCTAAATTTGATAAAGAGTTGTGAAGGTCTGTTGATGACATCTTAGATAGTGGAGGTTCTTTTTACAAGATGTGTTGATGACATCTTGGATAGTGGAGGTTCTTTTTACAAGATGATATATTGAGAGACAATGAAATATATGGTATGAACTATGATTTTGATTGTGATTTTGATGGTCATAGTGATACGATTCTAGATTTTAACCTTAATAACTTTTCTACTAACGACATCCTCCCTCCTAACGGCCTACATATTTTGGTAAGTGTCATTTTTAGTAAAATAGTTCAAGCCATGAAAGTAAGGTTTGAAATGAACACAAAATAAAAAGTATTTTTTGGTTCAAGACTTTCTAATAGCCATTTCTTATGAGAACACGAAACGTCTACTTAGGTAAATTTGATGAGAAAAAAGTACATTTTAAGGAGCTTCAAGACTTTAGAGATGTCATGTTGGATATATCCTAGTCTCTGAAGAAATAAGCGCATGTGAATTTCTTGACTAACCTACAAGAAGAAAGATCGAGAGTTTGTCCAATAAATGTTATGATGTACAAGTGTGTAGAAGAAAATATGCATGAGTGGACTTGATTGGAGTTTTCCCACTTATGCATTTGAGGACTAGAGGTTTTATTATCGAATATGCATCCTTCAGAATCTCTTCATGTAAAGTGGTGAAACATGAAAATCTGTGTTTTAACATTTGACACAGATTCATACCATTTGAATTTGACACTAATGAATTCCTACCATCAGAGACAATAAATATTTTATATTGAGTCGAAGGAATCACACACAACATTTTGTATATTCTAGAATAATAAACACAATTTTAAGAAGATTCATATTCCCATCTTAAAGGTGTTAAATCGATTGTGTCGAAACAGTGTGTGTGTTGAAGGGAGGTTACCCAATCGAAGAGCTTGTGGATCGAAGCAAGCTACACACAAATTTGATTGGTTTTAGATTTAGATAGATTTTATTTAGATTTAAAATAGATAGATTTGATTTAGTACCAAAATAGGTATTTTGGGCTTTTATAGTTTTGGGATTTGGCTTAGGGAGCAAGCTAACCTAGATCCATAAATACAAGGAGTAACCCCTAATTTTATAGTTAAGTCAATTCATTGTAATCACAGAATTTGTAATTGCAATTGATTAATAAAGTTTTCCATATTTTGTGGGCAGAGAGAAACTCTGTAGAAAATAATTGTCTTCTTTATTTTCTTTTCTTTTCTTTTCTTTTCTCATAATTCATTGTCATTGTGTGGTGATATCAATCTTGTTCATCAAGATTTGTAGAAATTCATCATAGATATTTTGGTGGATTTCCAACATCTGGTATCAAGAGCTCGGTTAATCGATTCAAGGGAAGTATCGATCAAGAACGATTAAGGAAGAAGAAGAAGAAGAATTCACGATGGTGAGTTATGGAAATGCAAATTATCCAGCAACTCTACCAATTTTGAAAGTAGACAACTATGAGAATTGGTGGAAACAGATGAAAGTTTTATTCAGGCGTCAAGGTCTTTGGGATCTTGTAAAGGATGGATTGGAAGCGCTTGGAGAAAATGCTTAAGAAGAAGAAGAAAAGAAGAAACACATAGAATCTGAGAAGATGAGTTATAAAGAACTCTTTAAAATTCATCAATGTCTGAGTCCATAAAATTTTGAAAAAGTGAGTGATTCAGAATCTGCAAAAGAAGCCCGGGAGGTTCTTGAGAAGTCTTTTGGTGGT